GAAACAAGACTAGATGAACTAATTCTATTTTATTGTAAGGCTACATTAACAGAATCTTGCATGTCCTTTCTTTTTTATCTGATCGTTCCCTAGGTGGCATCTCTTTCCCCTGTCTTCCAAGGCCACCCTCACATTCCATCACAGTTTCACCATGTGTTGTCCAGACTGGCTTTCTGTCACATGTATAGATTTTGCACGTGAGAGATTCTGGGATTCCCATTTTCCTATGGACGTTCTCTAGCTTGACATGGTCAGCATAATGGAAGGCCTTTTTGTAGTCAATGAAGCACATACTGACTTTTTTTTTTGGTATTCTTTGACTTTTTCAATTCTCCAGCATACACAAGCAATAATGTTACTTATTCCTTGGCCTTTTCTGAAACCAGTTTGAACTCATGGCATTCCCCTTTCTACATAAGGTTCTAATCTGTGTTGAATGATTCTAAGCATTATTTTACTAGCATGTGGAATTAAAAATGTTGCATGATAGTTTGCACAAACTATTAAATCTCCTTTCTTTGGTATTGATATGTAGATTTAGTTCTTTCAGTCTGTTGACCACTGTGGTGTTCTCCAGATTTGCTGACATAGTTTGGTTAGAACCATTCTTGATTCTTCTGTTACTCCCATAGCCTTGGTAATGACTGGAATGCTGATCTAACTTCTAATACTAGTAGTTCTTGTAAGCGGGGGATATCTTCTAAGATATCTTGGATGTTGATGTACTTACTATACAAAATTTCAGTATACTCCTTCCATCTTTGTTTGATCTGCTTTGAATAAGTTACTGTCTATTGGCATCCTTTAGCATACCAGCTTTGAGGTTGGAACTTCCTTTTGAGTTTGGAGATCTTTTGGAAAACTTTCCTTGTTTTTCTGTATCTCTTTCCATTTCAATGTCTTTACAGATGTGGTAATGCTGCTCCTTGCTCTTCTAAGAGCTCTCTAAAATTCTTTGTTCAGTTCCTTTCTGAGAACTTTTTCTTAGCTTTTGCTTATCTTCTAGGCAATTTCCACCGTCTGTTCTCACATTCAGTTTGGTTTCTTCTGTTTCTTGGTCTTTGGCAATATCTTTTCACATTCATCATAACCCATTTTTTAAATTGAATTCCACAGTTCCTCTGGCTCCCTATCAATGAGGCTCAGGATTCCATAGTTTTCCTTGAAATGGTAAGTATATTATCAAGATCATATAGTGGAAACTGGCTTTGTTTTTCCACTTTAGCCTGGCTTGGAGGTTGCACAGTAACAGTTTGTGATCTGTTCCACAATGAGCCCTCACCATGTCTTTGCTGTTTTAAGTGAGCTCTTCCATTTCCTTGAACCAATAATATAGTCACTTTGGGTTCCCTGTTGCTCCATCTGGTGATATTGAAGTCTGTTAGCAGTGAAGAAATCATTAGATTGGCAGAAACTGATGATTCATTCTTCTGTTTCATTTCGGTTCCCTAGGTGGTATAGTTCAACTACTTTTTCCTCCTTAGTATTTCTAACATTGTCTTTTCAGTTTCCAGTCACAAATAGCACATCTTGTTTGAGTTTTCTGTTGATTCCTGATTGAACTTGACCCTAAAACTCATTCTTCTTCTTCTTCTGCACCAGGATCATAGATCTGGATAACCAACATATTAAAGGGTTGCATGTAAAATCTAATTGATATTATTTGATCATTAACTGCATTGTACCTAAATACTGTCTTTGTTATAACCTTCTTGACCATGAAAACAACAAGGTTTCTTCTTTGTTTTTCATGTTCTGAGTAGTAAACAATATGATCTCCTGACTGAAAGTAACCAATTTCACTGTTTCAATTTACTGATGCCTGAGATGTCAATGTGTAGTGGGATTCATTTCATTTTTCATTGTGTTGAGTTTTGTTCATGCTTCTTAGGTTTCGTGTTCTACTGCATTCCTGTATTTATAGCTTTGGATTTTCTTTTCTCTGCATAGTAACATCAGCCAGTAGACTTTTCAAAGGATTTAATCAGCCCGTGTCATACAGTGGGGCAAAAAAGTATTTAGTCAGCCACCAATTGTGCAAGTTCTCCTGCAGGATTTGAGTCCCTGGCGGCATAGTGTGTTACTGATGGTAGCCTTTGTTACTTTGGTCCCAGCTCTCTGCAGGTCATTCACTAGGTCCCCCCATGTGGTTCTGGGATTTTTGCTCACCATTCTCTGCAGGATTTGAGTCCCTGGCGGCATAGTGTGTTACTGATGGTAGCCTTTGTTACTTTGGTCCCAGCTCTCTGCAGGTCATTCACTAGGTCCCCCCATGTGGTTCTGGGATTTTTGCTCACCATTCTCTGCAGGATTTGAGTCCCTGGCGGCATAGTGTGTTACTGATGGTAGCCTTTGTTACTTTGGTCCCAGCTCTCTGCAGGTCATTCACTAGGTCCCCCCATGTGGTTCTGGGATTTTTGCTCACCATTCTTCTTTCAGCATGACAATGATCCCAAACACACCGCCCGGGCAACGAAGGAGTGGCTTCGTAAGAAGCATTTCAAGGTCCTGGAGTGGCCTAGCCAGTCTCCAGATCTCAACCCCATGGAAAACCTTTGGAGGGAGTTGAAAGTCTGCGTTGCCCAGCGACAGCCCCAAAACATCACTGGTCTAGAGGAGATCTGCATGGAGGAATGGGGCAAAATACCAGCAACAGTGTGTGAAAACCTTGTGAAGACTTACAGAAAACGTTTGACCTCTGTCATTGCCAACAAAGGATATATAACAAAGTATTGAGATGAACTTTTGATATTGACCAAATACTTAGAACTTGCACAATTGGTGGCTGACTAAATACTTTTTTGCCCCACTGTAAATACCATTCTTATTCTGAAGGAGAACTTGCACAATTGGTGGCTGACTAAATACTTTTTTGCCCCACTGTAAATACCATTCTTATTCTGAAGGAGAACTTGCACAATTGGTGGCTGACTAAATACTTTTTTGCCCCACTGTAAATACCATTCTTATTCTGAAGGAGAACTTGCACAATTGGTGGCTGACTAAATACTTTTTTGCCCCACTGTAAATACCATTCTTATTCTGAAGGAGAACTTGCACAATTGGTGGCTGACTAAATACTTTTTTGCCCCACTGTAAATACCATTCTTATTCTGAAGGACCCATAGCATGTTGAGTGCCATCTGACTTGATGGACCCATCATCCAGCAATCACTTTATGTTCTTTCCCTGTGGTTTTCTTGGTAAAATACAGGAGTGGTTTACTTCTCCTATGCAGTATGAAATGATGTCTTTATTGCTACTAAAGTGATGATCCACCTCTGACACCTTCCTCTATTGCTGCTGCCTGATATTGGTACTTGCTTGCTTTAGCTGTGCAGCTGTGATGACCTTCACATCTTGGGTGACCCTACTGGAAGTATACACTGTTGGCGTACACTCCCTGTCCGCCTCATTCATCTGTCCCAGAAACACCCCCTGCTGTAATGAGGCAACACCAGCTGGGGAATGTTGGTTTAAGGAATCCTTAATTGAAACCACATGTCCTCACTAATTTAGTATACAACTCTTTTCTTGTATTGCAGCATTAATATTCTTAGCTGAGCTGCTCCTACCACTTATGTGACAGGCAGGATCAAATAATGTTTTTTTGTAGCCCCTAGATGGCAGAAGATAGCATCTTCCTAGTTTTTCAGTCCTATGTCATAAGGTTGCTACAGGAGTTCCTGGCTAAATTTTACCCTTTCCTTTCTTTCTCTGTTCGGCTTCAGAGTAAGTCCATTATTTTGTTTTCCTACTGGTGCTGGAGAGTATCCTTAACTGTTGCTCTGTTGTATATAATGTTCCATTTTGCCAGGAATGCCACCACCTTAGCAGCATTCTCCATTAATGATCTATTAAGCAACACGTGGTCCTTATTTTCTTTTTTCATGAGACAATGCAAGCTTAATTTACAAGTCTCAGCCAGAACTTTTGGCAGACGAGTCCTACAACAAGTAGTACATTGTTGGTAAGTTTGTTTCAGTAGTACTCCCTACTCTCAAGAACTGCTCTAGCAATTCTCAGTTAAGGATACCTTCCATCTATAATAAGACATTGTGAAGTTCTTTTTTCTACTGTGGATGGAAGGTATGCAGACCACCCCCTTCAATGAAGATAAGATTTTTTTCACTGGGGAAGAGAGTCATTTCCTTAGTATTGGTCTTTATACCTACATTTCTTCTGTCTCTTCCTCTTTCGGAGAGAGGTAATTGTTAGTATCTAATACACCATTTTTATATGTTATCAATTTTTGGAGAAGTCCTCAAATAATAGGCTAAGATTTCTTATATCAGGTGACTGCTTAATTCAAATGAATAGAAATGACTCAACGGTGTGTCTAGAATTAAATCTCAGCTGATTTCAGTCTTTATGGTCTATAAACTTTTCCCCATCCTTTATTAATGAAATTTATGAAAAGTTTCCAACACTAGCTATTGACAGATATCTTCAGGTAGTCTGGACTTTTTCCCTCTGAGTGTTCATATTCTCTTCCCCTTGTTTTCAGCAAGTAAATTTAAGTGAATCTTTATTCACATGACTTTTACAGCTCATTAGACGAAACCACATATGAAAAGCTTGCTGAAGAAACACTGGAATCGTTAACAGATTTCTTTGAGGATTTGGCAGACAAGCCGTTTACTTCTGAAGATTACGATGTCTCCTTTGGGGTATAATGTTGTTGTTCCTTTCTCTGACATTTCTTTGTAAATTCTAACGTGTTTTCAGATAGAACATTTAAAAAACTTCCTTTATATGTTGTTATTTATGGCTGTAAATATTGGAGATTCTGCTACAGTTCCAGAATTCTAAAATTATTATCTGAGGCAGTGTTTCTCAAAGGCAGTGAAATCACTGGTCAGCTTTCTTCAGTATGAGCCCTGCAGATATATTGCAGTCCAGTGTAATTCTGAAAGCCATGCTTACTTGGAATCAAGCAAGTTGAAGCCCAACGCATTAGTGGGCTTCAAGTTGAGAAAGGCTATATAGGTGAACAAATGCACATCTTTAAAATTTGCTCCATCGTTTGGAAACCTTAAGCAGCATACTATGTAGGTAGCACTGTCATTCCCTACTATTGTTTCTTTAACACCCCTCAGGCTCTTAGCATTAAACTTAAATTCAAATTATTGCTTCATTTAGTTCCTCCTGCATAACTTTCATGATTCTCTGTGTCACAGAATTTGCCTGGAGAAATATTTGCTCTTGTCACAGTTCAGCATTAGCATTTTTTCCCCAGTTCAGCTGTTCAGTTATAGTTCTGGATTGAAGTTTTTGGGAAAGCGTGACCAATAAGACATGTAACACTGTTTTGGGTGTATGTGCACATTTCTTCTCCCCTTCCCTGTCATATTGACTAGGTACTTCCAGATTAAAGTCTCAAACACATTGTTTTATGGGGACTCCAGACAATATTATTTGACTTCTGCAATGCTTGCATATTTTCCCACTATTTGTTCTTTTTTTCTAACTGCAGAAAATGTGTTAAGGAGTAAAAGGGAAAAAAATTGCACAGTGGTCATTAATTGTAGGAGGCTGTCATCTGGAAGCACCTATTTTTCTCTTCTAGTTTGATAATTATTTTTACTTAATGGACTGGTTGTGTTGTGAGACCACAAGGTGGCATACTTGGGAAAAATGTAACAAGTGAGATGCCATTTTATGTTTTGCAGCTGGGCAGATATGAGTGCATTTACAGTATATGTGATTTGAAACCAGCGTGTATATTTTGCTAAAATTCCTGGAAGTTAATTGATACAGACAAGGGTGATAAAAGCATAAGAGGGAATTAAATGAAGCAAATAGTTTCATTTGATTGAAGTGTACCCATTTAACAATGATATGATTGATTCTTCTAATTACTGAAGTAACCTCTACTTCATATCTGAAAAGCCTCTTGCACAGTGAGATTGTTCATTCAAAGTTTTTTTTTACTTTTTATTCTGTAGAATGGAGTACTAACAGTGAAACTGGGTGGAAACATGGGAACTTACGTGATCAATAAACAGACACCAAATAAACAGATATGGCTTTCTTCTCCAACCAGGTGAGTTGTCTCTAAGTTACAATGATTTGGAAATTTGTAGTTGAACTGAAACATCTTTATGCATTATTCATTTATTACATATCATTCTGAAATTTCTAAATCAATATTATAGAATTTCCAGATTGTCCAGGTTCTGATACCATATTATAACATAAATCCCCTGTTTAGCACATAGCCCAGGATTTTCTGGTGGTCTCTCATCCATATACCAACTTGAGCCTGCTTAGCTTCCAAGGCAGGTGAAGTCAGCTAAATGCTACCACCTGCTAATGCTTTTGTTTTAGCTGAAAGACTATCGATTGGGTGTTGTTTGATTATGGAAGAAGTATATAAACCATCCTTTGATTCTGTAACTTTCAGTAAGTTTTTTTTGTGTTCTAGCCATACAAATTGAGTAAATAAAATACTGAAGGTAACTAAATGTGTTGTTTCTTCTGTAAGCACACAACATTCAAATGATAAGAGTGTGTCAGAAAACAGTACTAGCTGTCAATTTCTATTCTAGAAGAGCACCTTAGTTGCATTTTTTTTTTCATAAGGATGTCCTACTGGAATTAACAATGTATATTTATGCACCAATGGTTGTGGTAATCATAAACAGAAAGCATTTGTATGTATGTAAAACTGTTGCTGACAAACATTTTTACAAGTTTGTTGCTCAGTTAAGTACACATAAAAATAACCAAGCAAGCGGATTCAATCCAGCTATACAATTAGATTACATACTAATTTTTGATACCAAGTGACTAAAAGAAATCTGTCCTGCATTAAGTGACATATGAGAGCCTTAGGAAAATCCAACTGTATTTCCTAGAGAGAGGTAAACACAAGTGTTTTGCAAGCTGCATATGTGCTGAATAATTCATATTGAGCTAACTTTTTAAGTTCATACTGTAGAATGAGTGAAAAAAATAAAACTTCACAGTGTTTAAAAAAAAAAACACTAGTAGGCTTCTTAACAATATATTTGTTCAAACTTGGGTGCTGTTGCAGATCTTATTCAAACTGTAGATTGCCAGTCTGGACAAAATGGTAAATTTTAGTTTGATTATGCTAGAGAGAGACGTCAGTTGTAAAGCAAGGAAGGAAGAGGTGTGTGCCATGAGTATAATACAATGGTGTAATTCCAGAGTATCCAAAGGAATGTGATGAACTTGAACTGTATAATCAAGAACTTGTCAGGTTTCCTTTCTTTTCTGCTGTTCTACAGAATATAGAGTAGTCTTCTCACATTTTAATCATGGTTAATGTGTGAGTTCTATGAGTTAGTGTGGACCTATGCTTTTATTTTATGCATTGTTCCATTGTGTTTTGCAAACATTTAAATTTTAGCCCTCTTCTAAGACTTGTGTCTTAATTTTTCACAGTGGCCCAAAGCGTTATGACTGGACTGGAAAAAACTGGGTCTATTCTCATGACGGCATTTCTCTTCATGATCTCTTGTCAAAGGAACTTTCACTTGCATTAGAAATTGAACTGGATTTATCAACTTTAATACATGCTGGAAGACAGCATAATTCTTGATATCTATAAAAATCCAAAGACATTGAACTTTGATCTGTTGCTTTCATCCTACCATATACTAATTTTAATATGTTTGTCCAAATTTAAATTCTCAAAACATTTGTTGTTCAAACCAATTTTATTAAGCACTAATGGAAAAATATATATATATTTGTCTTTGGCTTTACATGTTTTGGTTCTTTGTCTTGTGTTGTAAACACAACAGTGCATCCTAATTCCTTAACCAGAATGACACTGGAATTACTACTGAGGACTACTATTGGAACTATGCCAACCATAAGCCATGCTAGTTGGGAATGCTGGGACCTGTAGTCTTTAACATATTTGGAAGGTACTATGGTGGTAAAAGCCGCATTACATTATTTGGATACATTAATACCACCAGCATTATGAAGATGGTATCAACTGTAGAAGTGTGATATTTGCATGAGGGTGGCCAGCCAAACTGGATGCTTTTGCTGCATTCCATTATCATTAACTTGTATAATAATGGAAATATTCAATGGGATTTGCATATTCAAGTGGTACATCCAATATATCATATTACACCCCACCATAGAATGCCAGTGTATACCACAATTTCTCAATAGCTTTTGATAGTCCTCCAACAATTCTTATAAAAGTGAATCTAATTAGTGGAATATTTATTTCTTTAAATAAGCAGACTAATTGAAATATTATGCCTACCTATTTCATGTATAGAATTAGAAAACCTGAATTTATGTTAACCTTGAAATGAGTGGAAAATATTTAATAGTGAACTACATAGAAAAACTATGGGATTAAGTGCAACATTTTCATTAATTTAATACAAGTTTAGATTTTAAGATGGGTTAAAGAAACTAGGACTGTGCAAAGCATTTGAAAGAGGTGTTTTGCAAAGCATGTTGCTGTGACCAGAAGACTTCTGAAAGTGTTAAAGCAGCCACATCCTTTGGAAGGCTGTCATGGCTGCTTCAAAAGCTATCCAATTCATTGTCCTAAATTACAGACCTAGAGAATATTGTATAATCTCTTATTCTCTAGCTCAGAGATAGGGAACTTCAGGCCCAATCTTGGGTTGACCTATAATTTTCTGAGGACCAAATAACACCAAAAGGCAAGGGCCAGGCTTCCTGAAACCTTATTTATATATGGCTCTCACAGAGTCACATTGTTCTCACTTGGCCTTTCCTGCTGGGGTAGGCAGAGGAGGAGCAAGATTTACTTGCTTTGGAAAGCCTCCCCCGCTTGGTGTGAGAGGCAGACCCAGGCTTTGGACAAAGAACAAGGCTTTTGTGGGACCTTCTCAACTTGAGAAGGACCCTTGCAAGCCAAATTCTGTCCATAGATTGGGGGCTGCTGTAGTTATGTACAACCCAAGAATGAATGCAAATTTGAAACTGAACTCAGACAAAAGTGAAATAATGATGGTTAGCACTTGACACCTATATGGGGTCGAGGTGGCTGGCTTTCACAACATCGGGTTTTCTCTAATTAGTCTCATAGCCTTAGTTTGCTCTTTATCTCATCATGAAAATTGCTTCCAAACTTTGGATATAGCAAAGAAGATTCATGTATTATGAACTTCTTCTCTTAAACTCTGACCTAGTTTTTATAGTTCTTCTGTCCTTCAATCATCGTGTCTTCCAGCAGTGAGCTAGGGTGGTAGTAAGGTATATAAAAAGTCATTCTTCCATAAGTAGCATTATAATGGCTTTCCAAATTAATAGAGTTGTGCTATAGGGGTTGAAGCAAAGAGGAATTTGGGTTATCCCCCCCCCCTTTAGAATCTAATAATTTTAAATTTAATCTAATAATTAAGTGAATAGTTAAAAATTGTCTAAACAGGACATCTTTTTTTTAACTATTGTTGTAAACCCCGAGTTTAGCTCTCCACGTTTCTTCTTAAATGTACTTTTTAAAATATTTGCTGAGACTTGAATTGTGTTCATGCTTGCCTGATATTTAAATTACTGTGTACAAGGCAAAGTTCAACAACAGAAAGGTAAGTTCCTCCCCCTCAGTCTGCATTTGTTGTAAAGAGTACACTGGGATCTATTGTTTGCTTATCATAAAAATGCTACAATGCATTCTAACTTCTGGAGTTCTGCATTCTCTCAAATGTTAGAAATGTTAAATATATCTTCTGGAATAGAGCACTTTGGATTTTTATTAATATTATTTGTCAGATCTGAACATGAGTAACATGAAGGAAGTTGTAGGGAATTGGAGGGAGCCTCAAGATTTGCAGAAAAAATAAAAACTATGGGTGAGAAAAAACCTCTCAACAGCCCCATTAAGAGTATGATCATTCTCAGGGGCAATGAATGCTGACTGTCAAAGGAAAATATCCACAGTTCTGTATCTCAGACTGGGGATGAACATTTGTGTCCAAACCCTACATAATGTTCTATTTTATTGACAATATAAGTGAGATCTTCAGAATTGCTCTTGATTCCTAGGTTGCAGCAAAAAACAAAACAAAACACTTTGTCTCACAAATGAGTCATTCAAATAAAAATGAAATTGCTACTAAAAAGAATATACTGTAAGTGGATTTTGATTATCGGTGTTTAACATCAATGATATATTTTGATATGTACTTTCAATAAAATGTGGTGCCCTCAGATCAAATTACTTTCTAATGGTGATGATGGATACTTGTGTGATAGATGTCCGAAGTACAGGTTATTGTACCAAACCATGAGCACTGAGCAAGCACAATAAGAGGAAGTCTCTCCCAAGGAAACTTAATCTTACTAAAAACAAGCAAAGGAAGAAGAAAACAAAACCTTAAGGTACAGTGATTAGTTGATATGACTGATATTATAGAGTAGATCTGTGACAGTATCACAGTGTCCTTTGTTCCCCGAGGCATCCAGACATTCTAGGTGAGCATGTAGAGGGAAAGTTTGCATAATACCCATAAAGAAACACAAACACACAAAAGTTTCTATGTGTGACCTTGTTTTATAAAATGGAAGATGGGAAGAGCGTGTAGGTGGTCTAATTTGTGTTAAAATATAAGCTTGTGGCTTCATGATTTACCAGTGTCAGCCCTTTGAGGTAAGCCAGGACAAGAAACACTGCACAGATTCCAGTAATGCTACAGGTAGTCCTCGCCTAATGACCACAATTGGGACCAGAATCTCGATCATCAAGTGAAGCGGTCTTTAAGCGAGATGCCCACATGATTGTTTTCCTCAACGACCACAATCCGGCACTCCCAGTTGTGGTCGTTAAGTGAACTCCCAGATCATTAAGCGGATGGCGCGAAAGAGCTGTCTGCTGAAAGATTTCAGCTCTGCGTGGAGCTGAAATCCTCCTGCCAGGCAGCCTTTTTGCTCTCAAACATTTCTAAAGCCCACTGAAGGGTTTGCCCTCTCCTCCATGGACAGAGGGGAAATCCTTTGTGGGGCTGGAGGAATCCTCAGTGGACGGAGGGGGAATTCTGAAGATTTGAGCTCCATTCCTGACACTCAGAGATTTCCCTCCATCCCCTCTGCTTGCAACCGTCCCTGCATTGACTTTCTGGAGAAGCCAGCAGAGAAGATTGCAAATGGCGATTGTATGATTGCGGGGGGCACTTGGCAATTGGTTGTAAACGTGAGCCAGTTGCCGAGCACCTGAAATGCAGCCATGTGACTATGGGTGGGGTGTGTAATGTTTTATGATGGCTGGAAGTGCTTTACAGGCCATAAAGCACCCTTTCCGAGGCTGTCGTAACTTCGAACCGTTGTTAAATGGTCGTTAAGCAAGGATTACCTACACTTCATTGTTGAAGGGTATAATGTATTAACAGAATCTTGACAGCCTGTCCAAAACCTTCATGCTCCCCATTTTAAGTTCATGGCAGAGCTGTTCTGAGTCTCTATGTCACACTTTCTACTTTCCCAAGGCTGAGTAATTGGTTTACTCTTTGTAAGTATAGACTGGGAAAACAGAAGACCACCTGTTATCTGCACAATTCACAAGCATGAAGGAGGAGGTGATATGGTTATGTCAGCCCTGGATTAACCATTAAGCAAAAAAGCATGTGCTTAGGGCACCAAGGGAAGGGGAGGCACCACAGAGTTTTTTCCCCTAGCTATCATGCTCTTAACTCTTTCGCTACCACACTCAACTTTAGCTTTCAGCACTTACTGAATGTCAGTTAAGCAATGGAAGAGCTGAGGGGCACCATTGTTGGGTTGTGCTCAGGGTATCAGTTGGCCTTAATCTGGCCCTGGTCATGGCTGATGATTTGCTCAGCTCCATTTGGTTTGGCAGGTCTGCTGCAGAATGTGCAGTTGTATTCAGTTGTTGGGCTCCATAGCTCTATTTCAATGCCCTTTTAGCAACGGAGACCAGAAGCTGCTTCCACAGCCATTTTCAGAGGGCGATAGTTGCCTTTAAATTAACCACTGGTTAATTTAGCATGATAAATGCTACCATGATCAGACAACTTCTGCTCCTGAGTAGCAGTCTGTTACATGCTCTAGTGTGTGTGGTGGGGGAGACGGTGAAGTTCATGAGGCTCTTTCACAGCATCTAAGTTATTCTGGGAAGGAAGCTGACTGGTCTCATTGCCATGGCATGTTTAAGGTAGGCTGTGGGGCAGCACTTTTCATACCAATATCCTTTCCCCCATCTTAAGATGGGAGGGGAGGAATGGGCTGTGGTGTTGCTATGTGGGTGAGCCCACAGGGGTAATTATGATATAAAGTCATCTTAGTGTACCTGCCAAGCCCATCCAAATGATTTGGAACTTGCCTTTAAAAAAATTATATTGCTTGCTTCTGATAAATCCTTAGCAACTTATCTTAAAAAGCTTGACATGATGCTAGAAATGGGCCGTGAGACCATCTATAGGCCTTGATACCCTAATCCATTGATCATTTCCTCTTTGCAAGACCAAGAGAATTGGTTCAGTACCAATTACTAAGGGGAGAGTTTGTGCCCTGGCCAGTTAAACAGTTATGAGGTAGATCCACCCAGAGCATTGTGCTTCCTTCTTCAGCAGACAGCTTTATTCCCCTCATTACAAGGTACAGTGGTACCTCGGGTCACGAACACTTCTGCTCACGAACAATTCGGGTCACGAACAGCACCGTTCGCAAAATTTTGCTTCCGTTCGTGAACTCCGCATCGGGTGACGAACAGGATCCTTGGCCATTTTCCCTGCTGTGACATGTGATCCTGGCTTCCTGTAGGGAGGGGGACTCTCCCTCCAAACAGTAACCGCCTCCCCACCCGCCTTCCTTTCCTCCACGCCAGAAATTGCCTCGAGCAAGGTTAGTGTTCTCTCTCTTCGTACTGTACTGTACTTTGTTTCATATTTTTGTGGTTTAAAAAAAAAATACATATGGTTC